CCCTCAAACTTCATTTGTGCTACTTTGTTTTAATATAACCCTTACTAACCTTTTTTAAAGCAAATTTTGAGAAATGTATTTTAGATAATGTATGAGTGTTTAGATGTCATTTTTCTTTCTTCTTCTGAGTTTTGTCAGAAATGATCAGCTGAGCTCTGAAGCAAGTGAGGAAGCACTTTGGCCGAAATCCAGTCTCCTTTACACAACAGGATGTTTGGTAGCTGATCTCCCTGACACATATGCGACACATAGTTTCCGATGTGTTAAAATGTGATCTCCTCCATTCTGTACAAAGTCCTCTTCCTCACATGTATTCCTGTATCAATACCATTTGTTCACCGAGTTTCATTTTGTACCCAATACCCTGAATCCCAGAGGATTTCAAATCTGTTGTTTTTCTGTCCCATTTCCCTCAATGTGTGTTGGAACTCTGGATTATAAAACAAACTCAAAGATAGCATAAAGATATCAGACTGAATGGAAACAACTGACATTTGCAAACTTAAACCTCCCAAATGTGCATGTGAATTAAATTTAATGAAAATTATTGAGTCCAAATCATAACATGAGAACATGTTTGGGATTTGGGGACAGTGGAATAGGTTGTTCCCCTCAAGCTGTTCACAGCACCTTTAAGGTGATAGGTACTTAATTATATTTGGGCAGATTATATGTAGAATCATGTACTACCTTTCAAGTTGCTTTCCTGATGTAGTCTATTTCTAGCTGCTTATTCACTAGGCATCTGGTGGGACTGGAAAGTACTTCCTTTCCCATATAAATATTTTTATTCATTTAGCAGAAGGTAAATGAATAGAACATCATTTTTTAATTTATCTGATTACATTATTAATGATTTCTAGACCTATTTGTCTCAGCAATAATTTCTAAGGTTTTCATTTCCAGAACTCTATTGATTATAAGATGTGCTACATTTGGGGAGTCTTTTCATTTATTTATCACCTTGGAATAGTAATCAGTGAGTTACTCTGTGTCTCATCATTCTTCTGAAACAGATTTTTAGCAGAAGTCCAAAACTTGGCAGAAGGTATTTCTTACTTCCGAAGAGATACTTTCTCATTAAAGTGGAAAACACCATTGTCACTTTTTTTGTTCTATCTAAAAATTTTATTTTTGAACTATATGTGTTGTATACTTTATTGTGCATTTTACAAATGAAATGTATTTTATAATTCAAACTCTACAGCTTCAGACAAGATACAAGCTCACTCTTCCCCCAATGGAAGTTACAGACCTAGACTTCTCCAAGTTTAAACTGCCTCTTTCAAGTCTAGGCATAAGGAGCCATCTAATTTTAAATCATGGAAGTCTGCATAGAACAGTCAGCATTCACAGGCACAAATCCACTTTTGTTCTCCAAGGAAATGTCAGCAGCAAACTCTATGCATAAGTTTGCAGTGAGTAACCTCTACTTTACACACGAGTTTCATTTCATTCACGAGCATCTTTGTATATTTCAGAGTAGAGGGACTTCTGTAAGCAGATTTAGAATGTTCTCACAAGTAACCTGTCAAAATGTATGTGCCCCAGTCTGTATTCCATTTTCACAATATTAGAAAAGGGAGACTATGGTTGTGTTGCAGTGTCTCCAAACTGATCGTCTCCAAACTGACAGAGGCTTAGCTCCATGCCAATCTTTTACCTGCATTGCCAGACTGAACAGTAGCTTTTGAGGTTCATCCATCACAATTTATGATACATTAAGCCAAATCTAATGTTCTCCCAAGCTGATGTTAGGGGATTTTCAGTATTCCGGCTAAGCAATTGCATTTGGGGAAAGGGATTTCTCTTTTCTTTTTATAAAAAATGTCTTCAATTCTATAGAGTCTCTTTAAGTCTATTGGACCCCTGATATACTACAGTTCTAATCACAGATTGATTTTGAGTTTGAAATCTTAACTGGTAGCAGGAAATAACTTTAAATTAACATTGCATGAACTACTATAAATTGTTCACTGAAAAAGAGTGTTTAATATAAATGAAGGAACCTACTTCCAAACTGATTAACTATATTAAACACTACATTTTGAGACCTCAAACACAATTGTTAATAAACTATTTCTCACAATGGGTCTCTGAGGGAGCCTAATATGATTACCTCATATTTTTATAAATGACAAATTTGACCTATAAAGATTAGATTGCCCAGTTTGGACCACATAAAAAGGAAAAACTAGAATTAGGTTATAAATTTTCATGTACTCATGCCTAATTTACAGAGTTGTTTTAACTTTATGAGCAGTTGAAGTGAGAAAACCACATACACACTATTATTTTCTTTGGAACATTTCTGTTCAGAACACATAATTATTTTGTTTCACGGACAACATAAACAGACATGGAGAAATAGCTCTGCGGTCAAATAATCCAATATATTTGTACTGATGCTTCATAACTCCAGTCCAATTAACAAACTGAAGGAGCTCTCTTTTTCTCTTTAGAATCATGCCATTGAGAAAACCAGCATGATTGGTGTAGGAGAAATCAAATCATAGAATTTTTTGATACCAAAATCAACAATTTTTTTTGCAATAAAATCATTTTTAGTTCATTCTTCAACACATTCGGTTATATTGCTTTTTATCAAATACTGTAAGTAACTGTCATATTTAATCTTGATTATAGGTTTATAATCTTTAATTTTTTTACTTTGGGATTTGCAAGTTACTTTTCATGAGAGTCCATAGCACATACAGTGGATGTTGATTTCACTTTGTTTTTAATCAGTAGTTTTTAAATTGTTTAGCAGTTTAAATCTAACTTGACTAATGAGTTTGCAATTTTTTCAATGCCAATATCACTTTAATAGCAGGAGTGGAAAGCACAGAACTACAAAACAATAACTGTGGAGTAAGTATTAATCACATAAAGTTTTGGTTATGGGTATACAACATTATAATGAAAATTATACTAAATATCCCAATATGTACCATCATATTAATAACATTAAATTATTCATAAATTAGTATGTAGAAATTAAAATTTTTTGAAACTTATGGCTTTGGTGTAAAAATTCTATTTAGATTTATCATTTCTCTTTCAGGATAAGGAACATTCTCAGAAAAGAAACTCTTATTTAAGTAGTACAGTACTAACAAAAGTAAATGTTCTTAACATACTATTTTCTTAGCTCAATTTAGAAAACAAAAGGGTATTCCATGGTTCTATAATTCATGTAGTATATAACTACAATTACATTTGAATCATATGTGCACAGTATTCTTTGTCAAATATGTTAGCCAAATATGGACGTTTTCTTCGTGTTCCCCTTTCTGGATACATTGTGAAGTCACACTTCAGTGCTTGTGAAAATATAAATAAGTGACGTCAGGTACTAGGATACCACAGTTTATCTTAGTTTTGTTCTATAGTAAACTTCTTATAAAGATGTAGGGATAAGTATGATTTAGAAGCTTTGTTTTATTGCGGACAATGTAACAAATAATAGTATGAAAATGTGATGTATTTGTTTTCTGGTGTTTATAAGAAGACTGAATCTTAGTACATTTTCTAAACAAAAATTGTGTGTTCTTTTTTGTGTGTGATTCAGACTTTTTCCAGCATAAAAAACCATTTTATTACTATGTAGTGTGTAGCTTCCCCCTATGGGAGTATCCTAAGTGTTTGGTGAATAAATTGGACTATAACATATGCAATACATGAGGCCCTTGGCTATGTCTATTTTGATCATTTTATCTAATCAGGACCTAATCTAGTACCTAGTCCTGAAAAGAACATCTACATATATGTTTTAAGTTAAAAGAAAGATACAAACCTTGTTTTCAATGTTTATTACCTCTCCCCACTGAGATACAAATAAGAAAGCAGTTGAAAATGTTTGAGAGTAAAGAGGAAATTTTTTTAGGATTTGAACATGTATTCATCTTAGCTCATTCAATATATATGTTTCCAAAGTTCATGGTTTTCCTTGGCTTTCTGTACTGAGCAGACTGGTTAAATTCAGGAGAGATTATTCAGCATGCAGTTAGAAGGCCACTGGTATTTGCAGGTCCACTAGATTCACACCCTTCCTGACAGCATCATCATGCATGTTGGTTTAATGATGAACATGAATGGCCAGTGCTTTAGTCTCTGCTAAGTGTGTTTCGCGGCATCTTCTACAGTTGCTTTATCACTTAGGGACAGTAGCTCTCCAGCAGCTTTCTGGTGATCACTACTGGGGATCCCAGTCGTCAGTACAGCACTGACCTTAGACCCAGAAAGCACTGCTGTAAAGATGCAAATATGGCAGGTGTTCCCAGCCACCTGCCATCTGCAGGCCAGGTTCATTGGTCCTTTGCAGGCGCAAGCCAGCAAACAGTTTTAACTGGCATTATCTATGCATGGTGGAAAAAAGCAGTTTGCAACACATGTTCTTAAAACACTTTTGTTCTTGGTTCAGGTTATTTCTAAATCTGAAAATGCCTCACGGATGTGAAGCAAATTAGTTCTTATTGAACTCCTTGTGGGGAGCATGTAGATACAGCCTTTAGGAAAAAAAAATTTTTTTTAACTATATCATTTGTGCAATATTTGAGTTGTTTGGGAAATGGTGAAATAATTAAGGAATGGCAGAGGAAAGACATTAGGCTAAATGGTCTATATTATTGCTTTTATCTTTAATACTTAGTGTATATAAATAGGTTCCATCAAATGTTCAAAATTCAGTGTTGACAGTGTTTAAGTACAGTTCAGTATATAGACTTAAAGTATTATTTTTTATATCACTGGAAAATATTTCCCAGTTTATGAAAAAAGTGCGGCTAAAGTCTCTACATGGTTTAGGACTTTAAATTACTTCTGGCTGACCTAAGTAAGGCTTATTGGTAGGTACCTGACTTAGAAATAACAAGGAGGCTTATGCACATTTTGTTTTGTTTCACATTATTTCAGCCCATTCAGACATGAGTCCCGAAACTGGATGAATCTCTGAAGTTTTCAAAGTAATACTAACTCCTTGTGGAATTTTTACGTTTTAGCCTTAAAAAAAGGACGATTTTGGATCACCCCAGACCCTTATCACAAAGACGACAACATCCAGATTGGGCGCGAGGTGAAAATATCTTGCCAAGTAGAAGCTGTTCCTTCGGAGGAATTAACATTCAGTTGGTTTAAAAATGGTCGTCCATTAAGAAGCTCTGAGCGAATGGTTATTACACAGACTGATCCCGATGTTTCCCCTGGAACAACAAACTTGGATATCATTGATTTAAAATTCACGGACTTTGGGACATACACGTGTGTAGCCTCTCTGAAGGGAGGAGGAATTTCCGACATCAGTATTGATGTTAATATTTCCAGCAGCACAGGTAAGAATCATATTTATGATGTAAAAGATGTTCACATTTAGAATAATTTCTTTACATTTAGCAAAAATAGCCTTTAGTCAAGCAAAGAACATTCTTATTTTATTAATTTTCTAAACCCAAATCCTATCATTCTGAATGCTCAATAAATATCAGCTTACGAGGCATTGTTACTTCTATTTTTATGTAAATTTATATGAGGTTTTACAGAAATTATGCAAATAAAATTAATAGCACTGACAGAAACAGATATATATCTGTGGGCTTTCAGATTAAACAATATCACCTAAAAACTTTATGTAAAGTTTTAAATTATATTAATAAACAACAAATACTTAAAGAATTGAAACAAGTTTGAGCAAACAGAAACAATTCCATTCTAAAGAAATACTGAGAAATAATTTAAGAATAATTTAAATAAGAGATATAAAAGCAATATATCCTTTCCTATCAAAATCCAATGATAAAGGTGTTAAAGTTGTAATCACAATGGAGTTTTTAGAGAATACCATGGTGAAATATCTTCACAATGAAAATAATTGAATACAAAAGTAGGATTGAGTGAAAATCCTTTTTTAAAAAATAAAAATGAAAATATACTATCAATTTTGTCTTTCTTAAATTTGCTCGTGTAGATCAGAAAAATTATGGCGCTTTGCTCTGGGAGAATGACTGATATTAACTCTCGGATGTTTTAAAGCCCTGAGATTCTATTAGGTACAATCACTATGTATTTCAGAGAATTCTGAAGTAGCTGTATTTGCTTTGCAGTATGATACCAGAGTGAATTTTAATTGAAGATTCTTATATAGTGCTAGGTGAATGATATGTGCTGAAAACATACAGTGCAATTATGGAGACATATTCTTTTTGAATGAATGTTTAACAGTTGGCTTTTCTTTCCCATTTAGGAAGCATTTGACTCTCATGCATTGTTATTCACCTGTGACTTTGTGCCTTCTTGTGGCTCCAAATTGCCATGCACACTGGATTGATTTCATTTCTTAAGGAACATGGGTTCATACTTCAGAGTGACAAAAATGTGCTGCTTACTTTTCACTATTTGCTTTCTAAAGGATATTCAATTTTATCTGCTATAATTAATGTGAAAGGAAATAAGGGTGATGAAAAGTGGGTGTATTTGGACACTAGTCCTTTTCCAAGTTACAAAAAAGCGTACTTTTTCAAAAAATGTAACTGATCTTTCTATATTTTTGGTGGTATTACCCAATGGATTCATTGAGGATGACAGTTTATATGTCCAATCAGTTATTCATTTATGTGTTCATTCAATCAAAAATATCCAATGATTGCCTGCATCAGTGTGGTAAATGACAGTATTTTGACACCTACCTTAGATATTTCCTATAAGAATAAGAACAACTTAGTAGTATCCAGGGTCATTTGTTCTTATTTTCTGAGGGACACTGCTGCAGAGTTATAATCATAAACATCACCTTGTTGTCTTTGGTTGTCTGGTTTTGTTTACCTATTCTTCTTCAGAACCAGGGATATAAAATCCAGATGCAAGGAATCAGTTCTATCTAAAAAGACACATGTGATGGTAACATGCTTCTTATAATTGAAACCAAAAACTGGATTTCAGAAGCGAAAAGAGAAGAGCATTATAAAATTACTCCTAGGCTGAGTTCTAATATCCATTTTTAAGTATAATAGTAATATTTCCAATTTGAAACTCTGTGTTGTAAATGACAAAGTAAAGAGAAGGAACAAAAATGAATCATGAAATTCAAAAATTCCAAAAGGAAAACCTGGGATTATCAGAGAGCAGATTTTACTCAGAAGTAGCTCAGTCATAAGAGATTAGTTCCAATAATTAAATTATCTTAACTATCATCAGTTTGCCTCATTGCCAAAGATAACAGCACCATATATGTGTGTTTATATATATGTATATTATATATTTATTATATATTATATGTCTTCTATATTAAGTCTTTTTCTAAACCCTGCCTCATGAGCTCCCCCCTTACTGCAGACCAGGTTCCTCCCTTGAGTGAGAACTCTGTGAAGTTTGAGACTTTGTCTATACTTCTTATTGTCATCTCAACACATGGAACAGGACATGCCATGAACTAGGTACATAGTAAATAATTGTTTCACAAGAAAGGATCTAATTTATGCACACAGCTCTTTTGAGGTCATCATTTCTCATCCTACTACTTCTTTAATCCTGACATTTAGTGTCCCTCTTGCTGTTTGTATAATTCTATACTGACATTAAGAAAAGTTATCAGAGAAATCTGTACTATAACTTCATGTATTACCTCTCCCACTGCAGGCCTGGCTCTATAGTTTTTGGTATCCAGTATGAAAAAAAAGTTGTGGGTCCAATGTTCAAAAGCTGTTAAGAAATTCACAATGACCACATCACAGCATTAAGCCAAGCCTGGGCACTATTAGATTTGGCTGCACAGGGGCCCAGGCTTATGAGCCTGGCCCATCCGGGGAATTACGTTTTGAGAGACGACTGGAGAAGATAGTGTGCAACCTAATGGATGAGTCACTGAAGGCAGTCCCACATACTGCCTTCATGCTGAAAGTGGTCTTGATGTTCCCCTTTGCTCTTCTTCAGTGGGATATGCGAGTGCAGTACAAAGTTCTCCTGTATGGAGATTTTTGTGACTCAGCTGACTTGAACAATGAGTTTTTATCTCCATATTGTAGAAGACCTCACTTAAAGGTGTAATATAAAAATAGATATGTTGTAGGATAGCGTTTGAACAATGAGAATTAAGCTAAAGCATGGAGGAAACTCTTGGACTATATTATCATTATAAGTCACAGGATCTTGAGGAAATTCTCACAAAATGGTTGAATGAATCAAAGAGAATGATGCAACTGTTAAGAAATAAGTACACAGGTGAAGGCCAGTTACCTTCTCGATTTTTCTAGTTCTATCATTATTTTAGGGAATTTAACGTAGAACAAGTGGCCAGTGGTTTTCTTGGATATTAAGCATTTTCTTTAGGTTAAATATAAGCAATTTTAGGGAGATGTTTTAAAACATTTTAAAGATTTCTTAGCCTTTTATTTTTCATACAAAACTTTACAATGTGCTCACTTATTAAGTTGTTTTTTGAGACATATTTAACACATATTAACATGAGAATGCATTAACAGAAGGCATTTTTGCCTAATAGAGAAAATAATTTTTAAATCCTAAAGTCACATATTAGATGACTTAAATCTTAGTTTATAACATTATTAATAGTTTTAGATGGTGATGATTTGATTTTAGAAAATCTTTGGAGAGTGCATATATATGCTTTGGAGTTTGCTTTTGCATTTGATTGAATTATAAAAGCTATAGTGTATTTGATCACATATTGTCTTATTTTCATATTAGTTCAATATTAGAAACATTTCTTCCTGATCATTGCAAATTGTCTTTCACATAAGCAATTATGGTTTTGACAATTTAAATTTATGTTTCCTTCAAATTCCTTTATTCAGTTATTTCTCAGTATCAGGCTTTTATTATATAATGATAGCAAAAATAGGTCTTGTCCTTAGGTAGCTTACAATCTAAGTTGTCAAAATATGAAGTAGAAACTAGACACAACATAGTGTTATATCTCCTGAGGGTAGATTTTTATCTAGGGTTTGTAAAGAAACCTACATCAACAAAAGAATTAAAAATATAAGTTCAGAAGGAGAAACAAAGTCACTGGAAAGGTAAAAGAAATAGGGAACGAAATCACTTCACTGGAAAAGGGAGATATAAAGAGAGGTATTTACCTTGTCCAGGTAAGTTAGAGAGTCTGGAGTCTGAACTCAGGAAGGGCGATTCTTTGTTCTCAGCCCCTTTTATTGCAAGGCGAGAAAGAAACCCTCCCCCTTGTTGTTGTTATGACTTTATTGGCTGTTCTGGGCTCCAAGTCTTCTGATTTGGCCATTTCCCCTTCCATGGCCTATGTGTACATTCTTGGATAAGTATTTCTGTCCCTTTGTTCTTTTGTCCCTGTCCAGAGGCTTATCTTGTGGGATTTACAGTACCATCCTACATTCAAGGACAAGTTAGCAGAAACAAATACACTTGCATTTTAGTGTATTAATATGGTGAGAGAGTAATAAAGTGTATGTGCATATATATATATTATATATTTGTGTGTGTGTGTGTGAGAGAGAGAGTATATACATGTTGATGCTTATTTTATATGCTAAATGAGTTTTTTCATAATACAGACTCCCCACTTTGTTTCTTTGCGCCTTTTTTTTTTTTCTTGGTACCGAGGATCGAACTCAGGACCTCGTGCTTGCGAGCAGGCTGCAGCTCCACTGAGCTAAATCCCTGGCCCTCTTTGTGCCTTTTATTGGAGGTGGACAGAGGAGGGAATGGAGCCTAAGCATGAATTGAGCCAGGCCATGAGGCCCAGGAAACTCTGTCTCTCTGTTTTCCTTAGCTATTCTCTCTAGCAGGGGTTTAACGCTTTATTTATTTTTAACTTTCCCTGACTGTCCCCCAACTTTCCCTACAATACAGTAAGCCATACCGCACTTAATGTTGATCAGACTTCTGTAGATAATGTGAGTGCTTTTGGCAATGTAGGTGTAGGGAAATTTCACAGAGAGATGACATTTGATATAAATCTCGTTGGCAGCACCATTGTGTAGTGACAGCAGAAAGAAGGCCCATCTGGCAAAATAGAATGAAGAAAGTTTCAGGAATATTAAAGTGATTTCTTATTTTTACTATAATTAATATTAATATAACAAATTATATTGGCTTATTTTAATGCTGTTTTTCTTAAAGAAGTTATAGTTCATCTGGTTAGACTGTGGGTAAATTTGAAAACTCAGTATAATATTTATCATAAATGTCTCAAACAAATTAAATATATTAAAACTTGGTTACAATTCAATTTTGTAATCCTTCACAAGCTTGGTGAATAGCTCGTGTGAATTTTAGCCTTATATATTGGAAATAGTTAAAAAAAAACTTTTAAAATACTGGCACTAGGTTCTTAGTCAATTATATA